CATCTTTTAACAAACAAATTTCTATTACTCTTCTTGATAAGCTTGCAACAAAAATAGAAAAATTTGCTTACAAAATTAACAATATCCAAACTAATTTCAAATGATATAGCTACTACTTTTATCTATATCTTAATTTATACCAAAACATTGTAGCACAAAACTACTATATTGACAAACTTAACAAACAGCAAGCAATAAAATTTATTACCTTTAAGTTTATCAGCACAAAACTATTAGCAAGTGTCTTAATCTTTTTTAACTCTTTTGATAAATTACTAATATATTCACAAATTAATACTTATTACTAAGAAACAGTCTATTCAGAAGCAAACAAAATATTACAAGATAAATTCTAAATATTATACTTAATTTCCTTCTTAATTGAAGAGTCTCTCTTTTTTAAAAAAACTTCTTTTTAGTAAATCTTTCTTCTACAAACCTTATAGATGCAGCGCCACCTTGTCAAAAGATACACTCTTAGTAGTTGGTAAGAAAAATGATATAAGTAGGCAGGCAATAAAGCCTATTTACATAAAAGACCCAGTAAATGACAGTCAGACCCAATGTACAAAGCAGACTATAATACCCTTCACAGCTATACAAGCTAAGCTTCAAATGATGAATAACCTTGTAGAAGTCAATTCAAACTCTCATGTTCCTGTTTTCAACACTCTATCTCTTGCAAGAACAAATACATATTATAACAAATTTCTATTACTATATAATCTACCTATTATATACCACTATATAACATTTAAAGAATTTCTATTTTATCTTCAAAAACATTTTTTCAAATATAGCTTTAATATATTTATCAATTATAACAAAACTGAGCTACATATATACACTAACCTTTCAGATCCTATTTTGTCTAAACATTATCTTATTCAATCTTTTCAATATATAAATTTTTTTACAAAAAAATATTATTAAATTAATAATATTTTATTATATAATAATAGTTTAAATAAAATAATATAGTAATATAATAAAATTATCATATTATTAACTTTTAAGTAGCAGGTCTAAAATTCAAATTCTAGTATTAATAAAAATTTAAAATTCTTTTTATATTATAGTTAACTGTCTTTTGTTATTAGTTAGAATAAAATATCTGCTATTTGTATTATACTAGCATAACTAAAAGATTATATAATATTTATATAATAGTTATATTTTATATAAAGAAACACAAACTGATATAAGTAGTATAAACCTGTAATAAGTTTTTATAACTATATAAATTACAGAAACTAGAAAGATGAAAACCTATTTGAAAAACTTGAGTAAAGAAGTAGTTTAAACTTTTGATAATACTACTATAAAAACTTAACTTATAAAACAAAAACAAAACTTATGAAATTAAATAAAACATATTAGTTTTTAGAAAAAAGCTGCTGTAATCAGTCAGACTACTATGATTTACTCTAGAAAAAAAATTTATATGCCAAAGAATATATAAATCAGAAATATAGTTGTATCTATTTTTCTAAGCTATCTAAACTAAAAGCTTAATAAAACTTGAATTAAATACTAAAGTAGTAAGAATATATTATAAAGTAAGTACTAAGATTGAATAAACTTTGTAAAAGCATAGAGTTTAATAATATATTCTAACAGCAAGTATTAATTTTAACTATAATATTATCAGGTTAGTTATAAGAATAGGATATAAAAGATTCTAAAAGGTTTAGTACAAAGTTAAAGATTTTTTATTTAAATAAACTGCTTTAAAAACTTAATAATTATAACATATTTTGTAGCAGTTAAACAGGTAACCCCTGTAACTGCAAGTGTTAGATAACTATAGCATGTTGCATAAAACTAGGTCTAAATGTGTAGGACATAAAGGCTCTAGTAAGTTTCTTATCAAGGATAAAGTAGTTCTAAGGAGACCAATAAGCATCGGGAACTTGGATGGGTGGTGCCTTGAGATGTTCCTGTGATACAAGGAGGATTGCATATGCAGAGGGTCTAAATAGGCAAGACTCCTAGTTGGCTTGCAGGTATGGCAACTAGTGTAGAACTTATATAGAAATGTGTAAGTGAATTACTTAAATTAGGCACCAAAAGTGCACGTGTGGCTAGTTGTAACCTCCAATGTAAGGTGAGCCCCTAGTAGCATGCCATGTCCTAATATACTTGAATAAAAACATCGTAACTCCCAAGATAGAAACTTTAACTATAAAAAAAAAAAAAAAAAATTATAACATATTTTTACTAGTATTAATTAAAGTTATTAATAAGTATAAATAGATAAATAGATATAAAAACTAAAATATTTAAATAAAAAAATTTATAAGCAGGTTTCAGATATAGTAACTAGTATAAAATCTTTAATCAAACTACTTAAATTAAAAAATAACTAAAGTTGTATAAGTGGCTAGTTGTATATTCTTTTTATAATTACCTTTTGTAGTTATAATACAATTATTAGTTGAATGCATTATTAATAAAATCCTAAGTTACAAGTACTTTTTTAATATTTAAAAAAAATAATAATAATAGTTTAAATAAATATTTTAAAATTATACTTGGTTTTTGTGTTATTTAATGCAATAAATTATTTCTAAACATTTATAAAAGCAATTAAAAAATGTTAAATCTAAAATAAATTAAGAGGTGTAATGACTTAGTGAAGTAGTTAAGTTGTCAACCTTCTAAGTGATAGGTTAAAAGTTTAAAACCTATTGCAGTAAAAATTTGAAAAACCATTATGTTATATTAGTATTACAGAAGGTAAGCAATATTATAGCAACAGCACTCTGTTGATTAGTTAGAATCAGTATTTGTAACATAGTCATATCAGATAACTGGCAGATTATGAAGCATCTGTGCAATATTAAAGGTATACAGAAGAATACAAAATGGCATTAGATAGTACAAAACTAAAATAAGTCCTCATAATCATATAAATTTATGAACTAGAAAACCAGAACCTACTTGAGAAGACTCAAGTAAAGAGATAACACAGATCTTCAACAATATTACTGTAAAGGCTAAATCTAGAAAATGAATACCAATATGAAAAGAATCAGATAAACAAGAACCTCGAGTAAGAAGTATCATTAACCAGGCTATCAGAAGTCTTGAATTAGAGAAAAAAGACTTTGAAAGGCAGATCCTAGAGTACTAAGAACAGGTTATAATTTTATTAGACTATCTGAATTAGAAGTTTGAAATCAAAAACAGAAGTATATTATAAATATTAAGGATATGTTATAAAATTGATGCTAGGGTCTAAATAAACTTTGCAAAAACAAACCCTGTTAACAAAAGACTAAATATAAATAGTTAGTTAGCAAAAAGACTCTCTAGAGCCTTACAGTCAAGTGATATACTCTGAAATATGTAACAGCTTGACAGATATATAAACAGAAAGATCATAGTTAGATTAGATAACATTTAGATATACAAAAACTTGTGCATTATTTGTCAGTATAAGTATAGGAATCAGAGTATTTAAATAAGTAATCTTCTAATAGATTGCAAATATAACAACTAATATAGAATCTGCTATATGAGCAAACTACTTAAAATAAACAACTAAAAGTTGTACATGTAACTAGTTATATATTCACCTTGTACAAGTTATATAATTATAATTAAAATACAATAAAAACAATAGCTGCTAATAATTACAGCCTTAGTGTAAGCAAAAAAAAAAATTAAATTGAAGTATATACAAATTTGTAAATATAAATCTTATAAAAATTTAAAAAAAACTAACTGTATTTAAAATAAATACTCAAAAATAATATAACTTACTATTATAACAAATATAAAAGTAAGTTAATAAAAAAAAAACAAATTTTTTCTAAATAAAAGTTTTTTTAACTTGAAGCTTAAATATCTTAACAACTATTTTATTAAATTTGATAATTTTTTTTTATTTTAATTCTATATAATTTTAAGATTAAAATAAAAAAATTTTAACAAATTTGATTAAATAGTTGTTGAGTTATTTAAATTTAAAAATTAAAAAAATTTTACTAAAAATGATTTGTTTCTTTTTACTAACTTACCTCCATATTAGAAACCTTTTAAATAAAAACCTATAATTCAAATATATTAATAAAATCTATAACCTAAAAAGTTATTTTAAAATATAAAAAAAATCAGTTTGTTTATATCCCTTCTAATTAGCCAATTAAAATGCAAAATTACTGTTATTACATCACACTAAATTAAAAAAAACAACAAACCCTAAAATCCGATTGGCTAATTACCAAATTTGTCTAAAATACAAATCAAAAAATTGCTTAGTTTAAAACTTTAATTGTACGACTTGTATTTAAAAAAATCCACTTGGATTTTGAAAAAATTTTTTCACTTTAAAACGATTTAATTTACAAAATTCTTTTCTCGCAAGAGTTAGTTCACTAAAAAGAATTTTTAGATCTCAATTGTTAATTAAAATATGAAAGACGTACGTACATTCCTATTATGTATCAGATAAAGTTAACGAATGAAATAAATAATTATATACAGTACAACATATTTAACTCTTATCACAATGACTACTGATTAGATTTGATTGATTTTAAAGTCATTTTTGTATTTGTTATGTAAACAATATTCGCATGTATTGTTAAAATGCAGTAACGAGCCACGTACTTTTCGCGTTACAGTACATTAGCCACTTCTCGCTTATTTTGTGATTTTTATAATGATAGATGAATATATTGGCTTGTATTATATTCCTAAATTAGTAAATTTAATATATTTTGAAGTAAAAATAATATATAGTTGTTTGTTTTGTTTGTTTACGTGTTGTTTATTCATAACTATCTGTTGTAGTACATCTGTCGTTTATAAAAAGGGCAAATGACCAAATCACTCCTAAAATCGATTTTGTTTGTACGTCTTTTTTTTGTAAGTACGCACCGTGTTTTCGAATAAAGAAGATAAAGCAAGTGTGAATTTTTAATTTCTTCTAAGCAAATGTTATCGCGTGTGTTTTTACATTCTCTTTTTTTTTTATATAAAGTACTTTCAACATGGAAACTCCTCAAAATCGATTCACATCTATTATGAATACTACGATTCGATCACCTCTCTTAGCTCTTCCGCCGGAAACATTTCTTCAGATCTGTAAATCACTTTCACCGGCCGATTTACTCTCTCTTTCAACTGTTTGCAAGACATTTTACAACGATTTATGTCACAGCGATTCCATAACTATTCAAGAGATTTGGCGTCAGTCACGACTTGAACATATTCCATGTCGAGAATTAGGTCCACTTGAAGGCATGACAGAACGAGATTATATAAGATTTTTAATGGAAGATAAATGCGGATTTTGTGGAGTCAAGAATAGAGTTACAAGAATTTATTGGGAACGAGGAGTTCGCGCATGTATTGGATGTTTTAGAGAAAAAACTATTCAGTAAAAATTCTTTTATTTATTTCGTGGTTTGAGATTTGCATGAATCTTAAGCATTAATAACTTTATTTTATTCTATTAGTGAAGACAGCCTATCCTATATTAAAAACATTAATCCTAACATTGTTGCATTTCTCTCGTCCTCAACCCATAAAGATGGCAACAAAAACTGGCGTTACTGGTTCAACCAAGTACAGTCAAAAAACAATGAATTCCAACTTCTCTCTCAGCATGAACGCGATGATTGGGTCAAACAACAATCTTTTATCTTCTCTCAACGCGAGCAACAACTAACATTACGTCGTCAGGAGGACGATAAATGTCGAGAACATGTATTAATCGAGCGAAGAAAAGCTATAAATTCGAAATTAGACGAAATTTGTTCATTGAAAAATCCTGATGGTAGTCAGAAGTATACAAGATTTATTTTAGATATGTGTCCTAGTCTAGAAAGATGTTATAAATATGAAAGGCCGTTTAATGAGCGAGGATGGATTATTTTGAGACCAAAGTTGATAAAGGAATATCACGAAATTACGGAAAGGTTAGTGGTATCAAGTGATGATGGAAATAGCAGTCGAGATGGCGACTCTTCAGACGATGAATCCGATGCTCGGATGGCTATGTTTTTTCTTGCTTATGCTCTTAATTCTCTTGTTAATAATTCCTAAATTGAGATTTGTTGAAATTACGCGGGTGGTAATACTTCACTGGTTTAATGTGCTGGACAATAGATTGCATTTAGTTTAGACTTGTGGTTTGACATTTTCATTTAGTTTGGTTATATTCGTTATATAGATTTAAGTAGCAAATAATGAATATTAATATATTAATGTTTAATTATTATGTCAGAATATATTATAGTTAGCATTTAACCATTATGCGCAACTCTGGGTTTGAAGCAATTAAAATCTAAATTTTGCTTAAAGTGGACCTTATTTTAAGATGAAGGTTTTCTATCAAGATTTTGTTTTTATATACTACATAGTCAAGGCTTAGTAATTTTAAGCTATGTATGTGGTTTTAGCCGATTGGCCGTCCATCTAACCAAAACATTGGCTAAGCAGCATTTGAAACTCTTTAACACGTATTTTGCGTTCTTTCGTTTTCTCATTTTAAATTTATCGTAATCTTTCACTTATGTTAGCCGATTATGACCAAGCCAGTTTAGCCGCGAAAATACTAAATCAAGCCAAAATTACCAAAATTCCATAATACATCGAATTAGAATTAAAGTGAGCACCTAATAGTAAAATTCATAACGATAAGCATTAGTTAAAATTTTTAATTGGTCAAATTATTAAATTGTGCGCCAGATTTGTGGCGCGGATATCCTGCCACAAGCTCGCCTGCGTAGACAAATATAAATACGTATATATATATTTAGCTATTTTTTTTTTTGAGCAATATTCATATGAGGTAATAAAAAAGTAAAAAGTGTACGTACGTACGTAAGTTACGTAATTTGAAATCGTTCGGTCCGTCACGTGATTTCTAGCCATTATATCGAAGGATGAGATGTAACGTAAATCGAATTAAGCGAAAAGGTTTTAAAGTAATAAGCATCATCTTTAGGGTTAGGATTAAGAATTAGGAAGAGCATAACTTATACTAAAATTTCACGAGGAATTTTTTTTATTGAACGCAGAAGGCAGTTTCATAGGTAAAATTTCGAGTTAATAGCGATCTCATGAATTTTGCGATCTTTTAGAATTTATTAAAATTTAATTGAATAAATTTTTAAAGTATCACAAAATTCACTGATAAACCTGCATTATTTATAACCGGTTCCAACCTCTAATAGCGAATTTTTAAATTACTTGATTCTTCAATTCAACCTAAACAACTAAAATCTCATAGGCAGAAGTTTGTCTGATTGGCCAATAAATTCAATTTAATTTTACATTATTTATAAAGTTTAGAGTACTTTTTTAAAAAAAGAAAACCAACCACAATAAAGTAAAAAAAAACATATAGAAGGTTTCATTAGAGCTGTAGGACTCCATAGCCAAAAATAAGATCTAATTCTCGTCCGTTTAAAAAAGTTAGTATAGTAATAACTTCTCAAAACCCGATAAAATCAACTTATTACTAAGCTAATTTTTTTAAACGGACGAGAATTAGATCTTATTTTTGACTATGGAGTCCTACAGCTCTAATGAAACCTTCTATATGATTTTTTTTACTTTATTATGGTTGCTTTTCGTTTTTTTTGAAAAGTACTCTAAACTGTATAAATAATGTAAAATTGAATTGAACTTATTAGCCAATCAGACAAACTTCTGCCTATGAACTAAAATCATGTGCTGAAAAATTTTTTGTAGGTGAGCTCGATATATATATATATATATATTTGTAGCTCAAGATTATCTTGTCATAGAGGTACCCTGCTATCTTTACATAATCCGGTAA